TATATTTAATAAACTCACTAATAGTTATGTCAATGTTGAGTTTAAATTTTACTATTGTAATTAATACAAGGAACAATTATGATTTTTTGAGCAACTCATGATGATTATTATCAAAAAGGTTAGGAATATTAGTTGAAACAAAATAAAAACTTTGGAAAAAAAAGTCTCATATTTAAAAGATTGATGATTAGTGATAGAATTTATATTTAAAATTTTCAAAGATTTGGAGTTGTATTGAATTTTTTCCAGAAGTTCAGGAGGGACCACGCTCCCCGTCTACACATGGCTCCACCCATGTCAGAGGGGCTAGGTAGGTGGCGGTGGGACAACAAATTTTGCAGCTAAAAAAAAATCAAAAATTGAGGAAATTATAATAGACAAATAGGGTTTGACTACCACCTGACTCTCTTGAGGTCAAGGTCAAGTGATTTTCGATCACTTTAAGGTATTTTTTTTTTTAGCAGACTTCGAACTTGTCTCATAACACCTTGTTCAAATAGGATTTGACTAGGTTTAGGTTTGTTTGATTAAAAACCAAATTGAACTAATTTTAAACAATTTAAGTTTTGGTTATTAAGTGTAAAAATAAAAATAAAAATAAAAAAAACCAATGACTAGGGTGAGTATAATTGAAAAATTCAGCCTAAAAAACTTTTATATAAATTTTTAATGATTTCCAGATTTTTTTTAAAGGTTTTCTATCAACTTTTCCATAATTATTTATTTATTTAGGTAACTTTTAGTTTTTTTAGTGACTGAAATTAATAAAATAATAATTAAGAAATTCAAAAAAATATAAAAAATAAAAAAATAATTTTTTTAATTAAAACCAAAATTGATCTAAATGATTACTTTCAAAAGATTACTTTCAAAAGTGTAACTAAAATCGATAAAACTCAACCTTTTCAGTTTAGTTAATGGTTACTAAAATTTAAAAATCAAAATTTTAATTAACCGATAATCTAATTTGGTTGTAATCGAAGCTGAATCGTACCCACCCTAATAGGTAGGTCCCATAATAAAAATGTTTATTATTTTCATCCTTATCTATATCATAATATTTTAATATATATATTTTTTAAGGATTTTTGTTACATGTGTCCTTAATAAGGCATAGGTTAATGATACTTTCTTTTGTCATAAATACACTTAGAAAAATATAAAACTAAACATTAATTTTAGTAGTGGTACTAAGTGGATGCATTTAATTAGATAATTGATAAATTAAAAGTTAATTTTTTTTAATATAAATTTATGATAAAAATATATATTTATTACACTTTTAATATGTACTCTAAAAGAACAAGTTAAAAAAACTAAGTAAAAGATTACTATGATGAGATAGATGAAACCTGTATGAAATATGAGAAAAAAATTAGGCAAAACCCTATGTTAAGCCTCCAAACTTACCCCATATTCTTGATTAAACCCCTCAATTTTTATTAAAGCTAATAAGCCCATGAACTTGGCAATTTAAGCAATTTAACCCTTGTCTTTATGACAAACTTAACATCAGTTTATGCCTCATTTATGTGGACAAAGTTAATACTCACCACATAAGTAATGATATGTCAATATGTCAATATCTTGCCTACACAAGGCACAAACGAGTATTAAATCCTCTATAAATAAAAGAAAAATGGTTAAATTGTCTCCATTACCAAATTCAAAGACTTATTTACTTCAATAAAAGTTGAGGGGCTTAATCGAGAATTTGAGATAAATTAAAGGGCTTAACATAAGATTTTGACAAAAAAATTAAGATTAATTTATTAAAAATTATTATTTTAAAAACCAATACTATTTGTTTACTAAAATCGTTTTATTTGCTCTA